GTCCAGAGTTTTCCTGGGCCCCGCCGTTAGCAGCGATGGTGGACAGTTGGACGAAGAATGGCTTCTGTCTGCAGGAAACAAGAGGATAAACAATGGAACAGAGCTTGATGAAGAACAGTTCGATGCAGACTTTATCCCCGCTTCAATGCCAAATCCTTACGGGGATTTGACTGATGACCCAACACCGCGGAATGGGCGGTGACCGAAGATGAAACACAACCTCTAGAAGAGAGTGGGAAGTTTTGAAACCGTGCAGTGCTGAGCGGCCGGGGACTACACACACAGTTCTTGCCTGCAACAGATGGAGTCGCAAGTTTCACCCTGATGATGCTCTACCACCTGAGTAGTAGTTGAGACGCAACCGGGGCTTGGTGGATGATCACTTTTTGCCTGATGACTAGCGGTGTCGCAGCCTTTCTGGTTTGTCGTACAGCGCCTCAGCTCAGAACCGAGTCGTAACTAAGGTTTGAGGCACATGTCCTCAAAAGTAGTTGAGCCCGCATCCACTTTGTCTTGTAAGCTGTGGTTTATTTGCGAGTTTACTTCGTCTGGTATGGATAGTGGCATGCATGGGCAACTTACAGTGTCACGCCGACTTATGCACCTATGGATCCTCGCCTGGCTTGTCCGAGTTGTGAGAGTGTAAATATCCTTCTCGGTTACTGGGCCCTAGCTTCCTGGACAACATGGTTCAAACGACGGTGCTGGGGCAACTCTGCCGACAATGGGACACGGAGCCCGCAGCCACGAGAAGTCGCTGGCAGTGTGCGCTCCTGGTCAGATGGGGCCAGGCCAGTGCCTTTGAGGTCTTTGTCGAGGGTTGGATGCTACTGCAACAGCATCGTCAATGGCTTGTTCTTCGGGAAGTTTGGAAAGGTTATCCAGATTTCAGCATGGCCATGCTACTGGCTGTTATCACCCAGCTTCATCCGAACCTCAATGAGATGGGTTAAGCGAAGCCTAAAAGGGGCAGTCAAGTTGCGACGGTCCTGCAGCGGTCCGACTCCTACTACTACGACACAGGCGCTACCTGCCTCCTTGTTAGGTCCGCTGGGGATTCTGATTCTGTGCAGCTCTGTTGTTGCGGTCACTGGACTTGGGGCACAGCTCTGTGGGGCACACCTCTCAACCCCATGTTGTATGACCGCGACTGGATCAACAGGGGAGCCTGCTCAGCACGGTAGTGAAACTACAGGTCAGCCATCATGGCAGAAGAGGAGGAATCTGACGAGCAGCTTGCGGCACAGGTGGAAGAGCAGCGATACCGCCTTGAAAGGCAAATGGAAGCCTTTGCAGCAGTTCGTGTCCCGCGGTATGGGGCCTCACCGCCAGCGCCAACACCGGCGAGGCCACGATCCAGGTCTGGTGAACACAGCGGCACTTGGAGAACTGGCAGTAATGGCTCATCCATGCCTTCGACAGCCAGATCAGGCAGGGCTGAGGTGTTGGCCAAGGCGAAGGCGGTCTTGCGCAGACAGAGATCCAGGCCCAGGTCGCGATCGCCAACTAGGTCACGAACTAGATCGAGGTCTCCAACCCCGCGAGCGACGAGGTCGCCGCCACGAGGGCCCCGACCTGTGGTCGTGCATCCGCCTGGACCATTCTTATGGGAAGAGGACTCCGAGAATGAGAACCCGATCAATTCGGCCGACCTGGAGGCTATGGAGGATCCCGACGTGCAACGGGCACCGCCAGTGCCCAGGCTGGAAGACGGACCAGGACGAGACCTTGCCGAGGAGATTGCAGCGGGTGAGCTGCTTGCGGAGGAGTGCGAAATGGAGCTACGAGACCAGACACCTCCTGAGTACGAAGCTGTGGGCCGGAGTCAGAGACTGGTCCTGGAGCCTCCGATGAGGAGATTGCCGAGGCTGCCGAGGACGAGACAGAGGAGGCGGACGACGGTTCACATGCTGGCTCCAGCGCGGACTCCAGCACCACTTGTGACTTTGGAGCAGGTCCACAGTCCAGGGAGTGATGCTCGAAGGTGTATGCCGCGACTGAGATGCGACAGACAAAACGCCCGGAGCAAGAGCACCCTGAACCTGACATGGCTCACTCCGTATCTGCACGTGTCTGTGTACCTCCTTGCCGGCCAGGTGCGGAATGTCCTCATTCTTGTGGTGATCCTGGGTCCTCAGCAATAGATTCGGGATCATGTCTAAGTATACGCAGACTTCGGAGAAGCAAGCGAAGATCCGGCTACAGAACCTCGGAGAAGACCCCAAACCCACGCCTACTTTCAGGCCAGAACACACCGACCACGACCACGACGACCTCCCTGCTGGGCCACAGAGCTGCCCGGGTCCCAATTCCCGGGGTCGTTGCCGATTTGAATTCTTCGGAAGGTTCAGAGGATTCAATGGGCCAGGCATGCGAGCAATCAAAACACTGGCTAGATTTTGGATTCTTTTGAGTGGAGCCACCATGGCAACAGCAACGGCAGAGGTGAGGGTTGGGCCCCTCGAACACCGCGGGGGCCCTGAAGCCAACTACTACGACCCATCAATACTCACATGGGCAAAGCACGGTGTGAGCAGCAACAAGGCCGCTCCAAGAATTGTCACTACCGCCAGAGAAGGCATTCGTAAGCGAGCACTTCACAGAGCCATCAACAGAGCCAGCAGAAACAGCAGCCAACAAACTTGGTACCGAGGCCGACTCCTACATTTTCGGGATCTCACACAGGGCTTGAATACACAGCCACAGACAGCAGCCCACAAGCAGGAGAACACTCATCAGCTAGAAGCATCTCGACCGCCCAAGCGCTACAGGATAGTCACCTGGAGCTGCGGAGGACTAACAGGACCACGCTATCAAGAGGTCTAGAATCTGAAGCTCAAGCCGGCCGAACAATTGACGTGATGCTCATCCAAGAGACAGCTTGGAAACAAGATCTTGAGTTCACTACCTCCCCAGTCTCTGGAGGTAGCAGCCGGTGGTTCGCAATCCACACAGCTGGAGCTGAACGTACAGGCATACTTTGCTTAATCCGTCATGGACCAGTGCCGTCGGAGAACATCAGATCGGCCGTTCGGATACCCGGACGGCTACTACATGTAAGACTACGATGCATGTGCCCCTGGACATCCTCGCAGTGTACCAGATTTCCTGGAATCCCAGCAAGACTACGTTATCAGCAGAGCACAAGATTGATGCACTCCTACGACAGCGCAATCGGGTGTGGCAGCAGATCAATCAATGGCTGAGCAGTGTACCCTCTAGAAATGGCTGTATCTTGGCGGGTGACTTCAATGTTGCAGCAGAGTCGGACTCACCATGGTGTGGCATGGGTGTTACTACGGGTCAAAGCCCCCATAAGGATCAGGAGGCCCTTCGCGAAATATTGCGGGTTCATCAGTGCACCATCGTCAATTCGTGGAGGTTCAGAGGAGCCCGTGCTCGCACGTTTCTGCCACCGGGAGCGACGATGGACAGAGCACATGGCTCTCAGCTGGGCACCCAGATCGACTTCATCATTTGCAGGGGAGTTTTGCTAGACAAAACTGCTAAACAAGCTCGAACGGTCGAGGCATCCTTTGTCCCGACTAGTGGTTGTCGTCATCTTCCTGTGACTGCCTCGGTGAGGGCACCCCACAGGCCGGTAACTCGTCGCCCAGATGTGCCTCGCACCTCGCTGGCCATGGTCAGGAATACATGAACAAGACCTTTCCCAGCCCTTTGTGGACCAACTCGCCCCGACCCTACATGCAGCCTGCCCGGATGACAACTTAGATGAGATGCTGCTAGCAGGATGGCGACAAATCACGGGAAACCTCGGAGGCGGGCAACACCAGGCGCACAATCCCGCGAACGCAGTGGACAGACCGGAACAGACCATCCGCACCCTTATCCATCAGATGTGACATGTCAGGGCTCAACTTCGACATCTCCAAAATCAGGAACGACCTGAAAGAGAGCCACCGAGCCTACAGGCCACATGGACAGCATGGAGGCACACTGCACGCCTGCAGGCGATTATTCGAGAACTCCGCAAACAATGTCGACATCGCAAAGTTCACCGCATCAAGGAAGTGGTACAGTCCACCAATGTCTTTCAAGCAGCCAAGCAGTTTGGGCCCAAACAACCTGGAAGACGACTACAGCTCAAATCCTCCGAAGGACTTATCCAGTCCCACGAGGCAGAGCGCCATCAAATCCTACAGCACTTCAAGGAGTTGTGGCGAAGGAAACTCTTCCGATACTTTTGGGGCAGTTCGCCCACTACCTTCAGGCCGGCACCACATCGCTGCCGCGGGCCTGGTGCTGCTCAGAACTGGTCCTACTCCCGAAGCCAGGCAAGAGTCTCAGCCATCCGGACCAGCTACGACCCATAAACCTTCTCCATCATCGCGAGTCGCTTGCTGAAGTATGCCTCTCAGTACCTGTCTGATGTGCGTCAATACGCCTATCTACCAGGTCGTTCCCTAGGACAAGCTCTAGAACGAGTGACTGGTCATTGTGCAGAGGTTCGAACCATCCTACACAACCAGGCGGGCAACCTACACACTCGCAGGCAGGGACGAACTTCCAGGGCCATCAGTGGAGGCTTGACATCTCGAAGGCCTACGACAGGGTCCCGTGGACAGACCTTGAGACTGCTCTACGCGAGGCCGGGGTGCCCAATTACCTCATTGAGCTAATCTTGCTGATACACAGCGCCACGCAAATTCGCATCAACCACTGTGGCATCTCTGGATCATTCTGTTTGGGTCGGGGCTAAGGCAGGGATGCGGATTGGCACCACTGCTGTGGACCATATATCTGGGCTGGGTGCTCAACGGGTTACACAAAGAACCGGCATTATGCAATGACACAGTCAACACCACATATGCCGACGACCTGCCCTACAGCTGGATTGTGGCCTACGAGTCCATGCGGGGCAGCTTAGCTGGCCTGAGCAGGAGAGGATTGCGAATCAGCACGGACAAGACTGTTGCCATTGTCTCTCTTAGTGGACCACAGGCGGACAACTGTCTATGGCGATACACTGTGCCACATCCGGAGACGAAAGGTCCATGTCTCAGATTCACCATAGATGGGAAGGCGACCTACATCAAGCTGGTTACACAACAACTGTATCTAGGAGTGATGATTGGCTATGGAAAGTTTGAGCAGCAAACCTTTGCCCATCGGCTTTCTTTAGCGAAACACACCTACAGTCGTTTGTCGGCCGTCTTCAAATGCAGAGATGTACCTTGCTTCCTCAGGCTTCGACTGTGGCAGAGCCCGGTGATACCCACACTACTACATGGGCTGGACAGTGTTGGTTTACCCAGCAAGGAGGCCGAGACCCTCTCTGGGTCACGTTCTTCAAACGATCCAGGTCCATAGCCAAGTCACATAGCATGTTCACACATGAGACCAACGAGGCCTTCGCGAGCCGCATGAAACTGCCGAACCCGGTGCAGAGGCTCCTTGATGCCCAGCTGCGACGGATTGAGTCGGATAGACATCACTTCAGCCCTCCGATGGCAGGCTCTCCTCAACAACAATGGCGGGAGCTGGTGAAGGGGCAGCTCTTAGAAGCCAGGGACATGGACGCACTCCGAAAGGTGAAAACTAGGCTACGGCTGGTGCAAGATGTTCTACATGAACAGTTCAGCTGTGAGGAGTGTGGCCAGGCTTTTATCACCCAGGCTGCATTGAGGAGACATGTCTTTCTTCAGCACATGGACGAAGCTCAGCAGACAGACAAACAGCATGAGAACAACAGACAACTGAGAGCTGACGTCATGGTACACTCCTTAGACGGCATGCCGCAGTGTAAGCACTGTCTATATCAGTTCACCACCTGGCATGCTTTCTTCTATCGCGTCAACTCTAACAGTTGCCCCGACGTTCGGGCTTTACAGGCTAACAGTGTACAGAAGACTGCTGCATCGGTGGTTGAACTAACTAGCAGGCCACGGCGCATGGAAGGACCTTGCGCTCCATCCCACAGTGCGACAGAAACAACACCATTGTGTGGAGTGTCATCAGTGGAATGTGAAGCCACAATATGTCCGTCGGCACATGCTTGCTCGGCACCCACAGCACAGCCATATTATCACGAGGGCAGAGCAGTTGGTACAGGCCAGCAACCTCAGTCTTCAGATGTCAGTTCTGTGGTCAAAGCTACAAACGTAAGTCGGCTCACCTCAGGGCATGCACTGGGGTTTTCAGTGGTGTGTACCTGTACTTGCGGCTTGCGAGGGGACCGGTGCTTAAATCGTTGGACCATGACGATCAACATGGACAAAGACAAAAGATGCCTGGAGGAGGCCACGAAGGAGCTGGAGCTGCTCAGGGCCCTTGCCCCGGCGGAGGTGATCCAAGTGGGGCCCCCAGGACAACTGGGACAGGCCACACCGACGTCGACGACAACGCGGACATCCCAAGATCCAAAGGGAAGCCAGGACCGAGCCTCGAAGTTCCAGCGTCCATGGGACAGTTCGCAGGCCGCCAAGACCGCAGCAAGGGCTATGGAGGTATATAGCAGCAGAAAAGAAGGAGGCAGGACCAACGGCAGGAGTCGTGGGCTCCCAAAGGGGAGTCTCAGTTCCAATGGAGCCCCAGCGCTGGGGCGAGGAGGACCAGGACGAGGAGATGATCGCCGAGGACACGTACGACATCAAGTCGTTCCTGAACATGGTCCTGCTTCGCCACGAGGCCCAGCACTGCATCAACCGAATCGACTCAGGATTCGTGGTCTTCATCCGCACGGATGCCCCGAGGAACCTTGCCACCAGTACCACCAGGTGGGCAAGACATGGCACGAGACCAAGAGCCAAACACCGGAGCAGCTGACCGCCCCGATGAGTGTGGTGTTGATGCAGCGCCAGCTCGTGACGGTCCTCGAGAGGATGACCAAGATGATGGAGACGCCCTCCTCCCGCTCTACAGCGGTGGGACTGGGCTGGTTGTCAGAGAATGAGCAGGAGATCATGGGGCTCAGGTGGAACGCGGAGACCAGGCAACATGTTCGCGAACAGAAGATGCCTCCCCTACGAGTGCAAGATGTCAAGGCGGCCCTGGAGGAGCTGATTGTTCTCATCAAGGAGCCCATGGTGGTGGCCAGATACCACGCTACCCGCCCCTTGAGCGAGCAGTACCAGTCGCCCACCCTCACGATGCTCATGGAAATTGGGCCATACATAGTGGACGCCTGGGGTCCGCAACACCCCTTGCAGATAGCCAAGCATCGCCCCTTCAAGAGTTTCCCCATTCCCCCAAGCCAGCATGCTGCATGAACCAGAGTTCGGATCACTGCATTGCTGTAACAGTGACTGCTGGCGTTTCCCAAGCTCAAGCCGAGGACTTGATCATAGCAGCCAGCTTCTGGGCCAGGGGGCTCCGCTGAATCCTCTCTTGCCTCAAGAAGACTCCTGCTGCTACCCACACGGCTGACTGCCGCAGGCGGTATAGGTGTCTCCAGGCCTGGTGAGAGGTCTCCGTGCGGAGTCCAACCTTTTCTGGAGGGCCCAAATGGGGGGATGGCGTGCTCCGGCTCGCCAACACGATGCCGCGGAGTTCCTTCAGCATCTGATGAGCAAGCTAACTCTGGCTGCAACAACGCTTGCAGTGACCTGGGAGGCACGGCAGCCAGATGACTCGCACTGGCTCAGAACGGATGGGGGCCAGTCGGTTCCATGGTTGCTGCAGCCACCCTATGTGGCAGAGGGAACACTGCCACGGCCGAGGGTTACAGTTCAGCAGATGATTGATGAGTGGCATCAGCAAGACGGCTGTGTTTGGGCCTCGAGCTCTGATAGTTCAAGCTGGTAGGTTTGACTACGACGTGTGCAATAACAGGGCCATTAAGCGTCACTACCAGTTATTTCCTGAACCGTATGTGTCTATTCCTGTTTTTGTTGATGGGATTAACACTACTCGGGTCACCTACCAGCTTAACTCGGCTATTTTGCACAGAGGGAGACTCCGGAATGCGGCCATTATTATAATTTATATTATGACATTCGTGATGGTTGCTACCGACTGGCTGATGATGGCACGGGCTCGAGGCCTCTGGAGGCCGAGCTTGGTGAACCTAGTCGTGAAATCTATCTGATATGTTATGTTAAGTGCCGCTGACTCCGCTTTTGGGTGTACGCACCGGGAGTCGACCGATTTTAGGTCAGCTGATCTGGGGGGATGTGCTTTTTAAGTACAGCTGTGGCCGGGCAAACGCCTGTCCTCCGACGTCGTTCGCAGCAAGACTTCTTCTGCAACGGGGAAAGTAAAGTA